ATTGGATTGGATGCGCGTTCCGAGGTGCGTGTCTTCGGCGAGGAGGTCCAGCACGGGATGGATATCATCTCTCTCTCTGTGCGCAGCCTCGCGACGGCGACGGCCGCGCGCAACTGCTCCACGCAGCACTTTGACACGATCTACCCTGAAGTCCGTCCAGGCGTCGGAGGTCGGTCGCCTTGGCGCAGACCGCAAGGCGCTGCAACTGGACCTCAACATTTTCGTGGCTGCCAAAAACGAGCCGATCGCCGAGCTCATGCCGACCGCCGAGCTCACGCCGACCGCCAAGATCCTCGAGAAGCAGCTCGAGAGCGCTACGGCTGCCTCGGACGCAGTTGCACTGTGCAACGCCATCGAGCAGCACGCCTCTGCGACCACCGTCGTCCTCGACCAGCTAAAAGCAGTGTACGACGCCTCCACCACCACCAACCGCATCTCGGCACCATGAAAGCGAATTGCGGCGCTGGCTGCCAAGGACAAGCAAGTGGCGAGTACTACACGAGGACGACGTCCAGCTCTTGATCGGCCTGCAGCAAGACCGCATGGCATATTGTGGTGATGACGATGAAGCCGACATGGTCCATGAGGGCGTGGGGCCACCGGCCGTTCGCACGTCGTCCTTTCTTGTGCGTACCGTGAAACACAATGTCCCCAGTCTCCTTTCGTCATGACAACCGACATGACGTCACTAGGGTTCGGGTGTTCACGTCCCCGCGTCCCAAGTCTCGGACCAACTGCAGGGCACACTAACCTTGTCTGCAAGACAATCTTACCACGTGTCTAGACAAGTACGAGGACAAGACAGACGAGTCACGGTATGTGCTGGATAAGGGATTAGGGAAGAAACGACGGGGACGCCGACGAGACAACGGCTTCGGTCGCTGCGCCTCGTGGCGGATTGATGGGCCATAGATAGTGTAGATAGAAGACCACGAGTGTTTTTAAAACTCGGGGTCCCACTCGGTCACGGAGATGTTCGAGTCGCGGGCCGAGCCGTAGCTGAGGTTGCTAAAGCGCGGCGACCCGTACTCCATGTCGTCTTCGAACGGCTTGCTCGTGGCACTGAGCTGAGTAGTACTGCTGCGCGTGCTTGTGCCCTTGTCCGAGAGAAGCGAGTTGGTCGAGCTGGCGCGGGACCGGAACGGCGCGAGGTCCTCAATCTCAAAGTCCGTGTCGTCCATGTGCAGGCTCATGCGCTCGAAAAACTTGCCGCGCTCCGCGAACGACTCGCGGCCAGCCTTCATCGAGAACGAGCTCATGCGGCCGCCTTCCTCGTACGCGGTGGCAAACGCCTCTTCTTGCTCGATCGTAAACGACACGTGGTACTGCGCCTTGAGGTGCTCGACCTGCATCTCGGCGATCGCGAGCGCTTCGTCGAGCTCGGCGAGCTCGGCCTCCTTCTCGGCCATGAGCGAAATCAGCGACTTGATCTGCTTTTGCTTGTTCTCGATGCTCTTGAGCTGCATGTCTGTCTCGGTTTCAAGGTGCGACTGCTGTTCGTGCGCGAGCTTGAGCGCCGTCGACATCTCCGTGTACCGCTCTTCGAGCACCTTGACTTCGGCTTGGAGCGCTTCGATTTCGGCCGCGCAGACCGCGCGCACAGCCTCTTCACGGCGATCGAGCTCGACGAGGAGGTCGTCGACTTCCTGCTGCTTGGCGCAGAGCGAGTTGAAGAGGAACATCTCCATTTTGGCCATGTCCGGGTTGGCCAGCAGCATCGACGTGGTTTGCGGGTTGGCAGGCACCACCATCGTCGACGTCGGTGCCTTGTCGAGACTCGCGCTGGTTTTGGCCGCCAGCTTCTTGGACAAGAGCTCGATCGTCTCGGTTTTGCCAAGGACTTCGGCGCGCAGCGCGTTGACGTCGCACGCGCGCTCGTACAGCTCCGTCTTGAGGTCGTGCAGCTCCTCGTCGCGCTTCTTGAGAATGTGCTGGAGATGCACCGTCGACGTCGCCTCGGTGCTCTTGAGCACATCGTCCTCAAAACGCACCTTCTTGACGCACTCGTCGGCAGGCATCGGGTTGATGGTCGGCGCCAGCGCGTCTTCGAGCTGCCGCCGCAGGTCCTCGATCGTCGCCTGCAGCGTCGAGAGCTCGGCTTCCTGCGCCGCGATCTTGGTCTTGGCTGCCGACAGCGCGTCATAGGCAGCAGCATCGGTACTCGACGTCTTGGTGAGCGCGACGATCTGGGCTTTCAACGCCGCGATCTCGTCTTGCGCCTTGGTCGACGCGGCCCGGAGCTGCGTCGCATGGGTCTGCGTCGCCGCCTCAAGTGCCTGCGTGAGCTCGGCCACATGGTTGGCTTCACTGCTGTCGCGGGTCGCCGAGATGAGCGCGGCGCGGGCCGCCGAGAGGTCCTTCTCCCGCGCCTCGACCGTGCTCGTGAGCTGGGCCACGTGCTCGTTTAGTGTTGACACATCGGCCTCGAGCTGCACCATGGCCGCGCGTGCGTCCGCGAGCTGCGACGTCTTGTCCTTGAGCAGCAGGAGCGTCGCGTCGTGGGCCGAGTTGGCCGCCGCATCGTTCGTCTGCGCAAGCCGCTGGATCTGCGACTCGAGGTCCATCACGTCCGCGTCGCGCTCCATCGCTGTCTGGAGCGCCATCTCGAGCTGGCTCTGTTGGTTCTTGGCCTCGTCTGCGAGCGCGTCCATGGCACGGCGCTGGTCCTCGAGTTGCGCGTGGAGATCCGAAATCGTCTCCAAGAGCTTGGCTTTTCGACG